TTACGTGGTCCCGACTTTAAGTAGAATGCCATTGGTTATAAGATTTTCGTGCCTAATTCTTTATATGTTATTGTTATTGTTTATTGTTATACTACTTTTTAATGCATTTAGAGTTAATTCTTGCTGCCAAAATACTCTTGTTTAAAAATAAGTGCCTGTCACAAACCTCCTTAGAACTAGTAGGATCATAGTGGTTTGTGTACTTATAAAAAACTAAAGAAAAAAAATGTAAACTCAATATGTTTTTTAGAAGCTGTTCAAGTCCGACTCCAGCTGATGAGAGGAAGGGAGGAGATTAAAGAGTTTAATGCCATTGTAATGAAAGTGTCTCTTGAAAAATGTAGTTGAATGAGATGGTAATTTAAGATGAGAACTGTTACGTAGTGAATAAGAATGTGTAAGTGAAGATTGGTATTGGTGTAAGTTTTTTTAATGAGAATCAAAGTTTCCAAAATGTATATTGAGGGAAATGTTAAAATTTGTGATGAAATAAAGTATTGCCTGCAAGATGTTCTTCTTTTCAAACCAAAGACTGCCCTAACTGCCCTCTTCTGGAGTCGGAAAAGGAAAGACGTTTTCCCACACTCACACCCCCACACTGGCACTGCGTATATCAGGTGCGGGAAAATCACTCCATAATATGATGTAATTAGAACATCACGTTTTGCAAACTTAGAAAGTTGGCGAAGAACAAAAATTCCCGAAGAAATCCTTCTACACACAGTGTCAATATGGGAATGAAAGCGCAGGTTTCTATCGAGCACCAATCCCAAGAACTTAACCTGATCAGTTGCCTCGAGCTCGACATCATTCAAAAGGAAATTGTTTTTGTTTTTCCCAGCTGAACTTATAGAAAAATTTACAAATTCAGTTTTCCTGCCATTTAGACTCAATGAGTTGTCCTCGAACCACTGCATCATGGAGCTCGCTTGCAAAAAGGCCTTTATTTCGAGTTCATCGAAATTTTGGTCAGAAACCGAGAGCGACGTGTCATCAGCAAACAGACAAATGTTTCCAGAATTTACAATTGATGGAAGATCATTCACAAAGACAAGGAACAACACTGGACCAAGGACTGATCCCTGAGGCACGCCACGAGCAGACTCGCAATGGGGTGAGCGGTAGGTATTCAGATATCCTAAGTCATTCACCGCCTGAATCATCACAAACTGCTTCCGTCCTGTAATGAATGACTTAAACCATTGCAGTGCCAGCCCTCGCACTCCAAGACAAGAAAGCTTATCAAGAAGCAATGCGTGATCCATCATATCAAAGGCTTTGCTCAGATCGAAAAAAAGCCCATTGTATGTTCCCCTGCATCCAATGAATTTACTAAATTTGAGATAAGGTCAGTCATTGTGTCTGTGGTGGTTTTCTTTTTTGTGAACCCAAATTGCTTCTCTGAAATAATATTATTTTTTGTAAAAATTTTTAATAGTCTTAGTAGTATTATCTTTTTAAATACCTTAGATATAGATGATGTTATAGCTATAGGTCTGTAGTTGTCGCAGAGGTGGTGATCTCCTTTTTTATGGAGTGGCTTAATAATGGACGTTTTCAGGGCATCTGGGAACTGGCCACATTCAAAGGAGGCATTGATTAAGTTAGCTATCGGTTAAGTTAGAATCGGCCCAAGAACCGAGCCTTGCGGAACCCCAGCTTGCAAAACCAATTCAGGTGGCATTTTACCTCTAATTTGGACAACCTGTCTACGTTCCTCTAAGTAAGATTCAAAGAAACGCAGACAGACACCTCTGAAACCAAAATGATTTAGTTTTCCCAAAAGAATGTCATGATCTACACGGTCAAAGGCCTTACTCAAATCACAAGCCGTAACTCGAGCAAAACCACCAACCTCAAATACATCAATAACATTTCGAATAAGCACATAACAGCATAGGTTGATGACCTTCCTGTTCGATCACCAAACTGTGAATTGCATAAAAGATCATAAAAGATCACCTTCCAAACACTTACATAATTGGGATTTTACAATTGATTCAAAAACCTTACCTATAGTAGGAACTAATGATATTGGCCTGAAATTCTGAGACAACAGCCGACTACCACTTTTGTGTAGAGGAATAACTCTGGACAATTATAGAACAGTAGGAAAAACACCTTCAGACAAACACATATTGATACAGAAGGCTAATACTATTGATCCTATTAGGTATTTGATCACAAAATTAGAGAGGCCATAGATATCTTTACTTTTGGAATTTTTCATACGCTGCACAACACTCGTCACTTCCTCACAAGACACCGTTTTCCATGCGAAGTCTTCGTGAAACGATTCAGATTCCGCCAAAAGGTCTAATGCGCAGGCACCTGAAGAATCCTCTTCAACGTGAACAGACGCAGAAGAAACAAAAAACTCATTGAAGACGTCAGGAGAAATTCCGTCTTCTGCAGATTTGTCATTGCAGCCTCTTATTTTCTTGATGAGTCCCCAAGCTGCCTTAGGTTTATTAAGATACCCGAGTGATCCGAGATATCAAGATTAACTATTTCAACATCGTAACCCTCCTGCTTCCGGTTAGTTACAACATTATCCAGACAGGCATCATATCTAGTCGGTTTGTCATTTGCGAAGTGGCAATTAAACTGCTTCAGTAAACATTTCATCCTTAACACTGTAGGCTTAGTGGGATTTTATGTAATGTCAAAATGAGCATTGTAGTCACCTCCAATGAATATGTTACTATTTTTAAACTTAGATAGCAAGTACAAAAGTTGCTCGAGTTTTTCCAGAAAATATTTGGGTCGCCTAGGGGTGATCTATAAATACTAACATTGACGATCTTTGAACTGAAAAGTGTGAAAGAGACCGCAGTTACTTCAAAATTTATTTCATCACACAACCAGGTTACATCCAGGGGTGTGTAGTCCATATTGTCACGAAGGTAGATTGCCACAACACCTTTTATGTGATTACTTCTCCCAAAATCAGAGGCGATTTTATAACCGTCAACTGTTTGAAGTTTTATTTAATCTAGACTTTTCCAATGTTCGCTAATAGCTATCACATTGATATAATTTTCTAGAGCAAAGTGGCTAAGAATATTGCTTTTGTCTAAAAGTCCTTCTATATTCAAAAATAGAGTTTGTAGATCTTCGCCATTAGGCCTATATATTTTATTTGGGAAAATAACTTCATTAGGGTCTTCGTCATGCATTATAGTATCATTCATGATTGGTTTTTTAGTATTTGAGATAAAAAAACCTTAGGTTTATGTACATACATTGGTTTGAGGGGGACGTACTAACGAATCAGGGTCCCACTTGGCCAAAATTCCTGGTTAAAAAGTGTTGACCAATCATCATGATGAACACCTATTTTGAATGATTTGTAGGAACTGTATTTAGTTTTCAATTCCACTATCTCACAGTCTTGAACATCAGAATCCAACTCGTATGTCTTTACCTCGTCTTGTGTCACTTCAGGGGCCAGGCGAGATATAAATAGCCAAGATTTCCTAACAGTCCCTGTGAAATACTGCTTTTTGTCCCGATCAAAGGCGTAGTCAACTTATTTTTAGGTTTCCCTTCTTTCACTTTTTTAGCGTAGGAAACTTGCGTCCACTCATTAGAGTTATTGACATCACATAGGCCTATGTTTCGTTCCTCCTCAGCGCTGTTGTTGAGGTTATGGTCATTACTAAACTGAGTAGGCTTAGAAGTAGACAAGTCTGTATAAGCGTAAATATATGTTTTAAGTGTTAGAAGACGTTTCTTTTATTTACTTTCCGTAAATATTTTAAGGCATTATTAGGCTCGTCACACACTGCGTCCGGTCCGGTAAAATCGGATCCGGTATCTCCACACACTGCATCAGGCGTTCCAGTTCCGGCGACCAGTCTGAACTGAGTCTATGCGAGGACAGCGGTATTGTGAGTGAAGAAGTGTTTAACAGTAGTACGTTTTCTGTGGTTTAACCAACAACATACAGTAGTTTGTTTTAACCAAACTTCCCTAAAGTAATGAGTGACAGTGACAGTAAAGACATCTTCGTAGTTGCAGCAGCTCTTGCTTAAACGTCCTTGTGGCCTAGGTCGTATAGCTCAGGGTACGCCTGCACAATCAGTTTCTCTTCCAATGACATTTTGCAAAAAGTCGTACAGCGTAAACAATAACCACACAACCACGTCTGCTGCTACTGTAAGTGCCCACTGTCACGAGGTGAGTAGAAGTCGTCTGCACATGCGCGAGCTCTCCGGCGTCGGAAGCTTGCCGGAAGCCTATCGCTTCTCGACCGAAATAATTTTACCGGACCGGACCTGAAGCACCGGACCGGATGCAGTGTGGGGACTTCCATTTGAATCAATGGTTTTCGAATTCACCTGATCCGGCATGCCGGATCCGATTTTACCGGACCGGACGCAGTGTGTCACGAGCCTTAAACACGCAAATTCCGATATAAATACGCTATTTGGATAGTTATATCTCACTCCTACTTCCGGCAACAGCCATTTTCACAAATTTATTGACATTAGCCAATAAAATAAAATCTCATATTTTTAAACTTTTAACCTACATAATGATATTTTCAATTGCATTTTTAGAATTTAAATTATAAATTTCCCATCAGAACACGTATAATATGGTACAGCTTAACCCATTCAAAAGGTTATGTTTTTATATTAAGGTATTAAAACGATTTCAGCTTGCTTGGAATGAATTTCTCAAAAAGTGTTTTTAAATCTAATTTACTGGCCTAAATAGTAAATAAGTTTATTTTGGATCATTTTATTCTAAACCTTAATAAGTTAATTTTTTACTGAATAATATTGCTATTTTTACAAAACGATTGTTGAATCATAATCGTTTACTTTGACGAACATTCCAATACCTAACCACTCTGCCGGTGTGTTTCATTTAAGCTATCCTTAACTAAACTAATCCTTAACTAAACTAATAATTTTATATTGGTTAATTTTATTCTATGATTGGCTAAGCTAGAGCTAGGACCGTGGTATTTAAGCATTCCATTCCCTCACCTCTACGATACGCCATCCAGGTTTAGTGGTTGGTTGTATTTCCCCATTAGTGTCCTGTAAAGATCCCGTTGATTCTTCGGGCCAAAAGAAAAAGAATATCATGACATTCTCATTTGGGTCCTTTTCTTCGTCACACCCATAATACCAGCAAAATGGTTCAATCAGACGATTCCCATAATTTAATCTGTCTTCGGAGGGTATCCATTTGTTACCCTTAGTAGTAACAACCTTATACTTGTTAAATTGGTTTTGTAAACAATTTATGCCTGTTATTGTCCCAAATCTGACTCCGCTAGGAGAGGCAATTACAGAAATGTAGCTGTTTTCAATTTTGTAGCAACGAATCAGAAATCTTACGGACATATCTGAATAAAACATTTTTTTGAAGTCCTTTTTTTTTAGCTCCTTGCCGTCAAAATAATCTTTTTCATCTGAAAAAATATATAAAACAAATTCAATCGAAAAGTTTGTTAAATAAATGTTATGTCAATTAAGTAGATAAGCCGAGGAAAAAAATATTAGTAAAATAAAAAATAAATAAATATGAAATACGACCCAATTTTTTAAGGGCAGCTAGCAGCAAGTTTAAATTATGTATATCTACACTATCTAGGCTATGTTCAACAACTTTCCTCAGACTCACTGTGAACCACAGTCAACAGGAGTCGTTGATTGGTAACTGCAGAGATATTCATGTTTAATAGGTTTGGGACTATTGTGATACAGGGCAAATTACTCACTATGTTGTTTGCTTATGCCATTGGATATTGGATACTGAAGTAGACATCCCATCCATATGGACCAGCTGTCGAAAATTTTTTATTAAAAAAGAAAGTAGATGTGTGAGCCAATCAAAGAATGCACTAGTGTCTAAAATTCTAATTTATACCTTATTGTTTGTTGCTGACCACGTTGATGGATCATAACAATTGTTATAGCTCACCACAAGTCATACCCAATGTTTGACTTAACAAGTAAACAAGTTTGTAGGTGACTTGTGACTTGTAGCGCAATCTGTAGGTGACTCACACCAACTACGACGATTTGGATAAAAAATCTGGCTACAAATTTAACATGGGGATGGAATGTCTATATACATTCCATCCCCATGTTAAAGTTGTAGCCAGGTTTTTAATACAGTAGAACCCCTCATATCCGGCCACCACGGGACCAAGCCCCTGGCCGGATAGCGATTTGGCCGGATAAACCAACCTACTACAAAAATGAAAATTATTCATACCTATAATAATATTTAATCAAAACATGCTGTCAAAAGTATCATTTAAGTCTATTCTAGGATTATTTTTTGAAGAATTAACATGTTTGTACAAATAAAAATGTGTAGACTAAAGTTGTTAAAAAAACCTGAAATTAAGATTTCAGGTAACAAAAACTATTAAACGATGGAGGTAAAAGTTTCATTAAATCAGCCTTGAAGATTTTTAGGACCTTAATAGTAAATACAATTCTACTCAACTTTCTTATCCTTTTTGTGAAATAAATACAAAGATTAATTTCCCAACCCCCAACTTTTTAGTGGTTAGGCCTAGTTCAACTGAGTTTAGTGACACAGTAAAATGTATTGAAACAAACAGATAAATAGTTCAGATAAATAGTTTAGCTCAAACAAGTCGCAAAGACTAGTGCTTAAAAGCATCTAAACGTCTGTAAGCTTTGAGAAAAACATTTTGATATTGGCTTCCTGGAAGTGGCCGGATAAACAGAGGACCGGAAAAACCAAGGCCGGATATCAGGGGTTCTACTGTAAAATTTGTCTTAGTTGATGTGAGCCACCTACAGATTGCGCTGATCTAAATTACTGATTTATGCAGATTACATGATGGTTTTTACCAAGTCAAACTGACGGAATAACTTATTATGAGCTATAGCAACTGTTGTGACCCAGCAACTATGTCAGTACTGTAACAAAAAATAAGGTACAAAATAGAGTTTTAGACACTAGCGCAATCTGTGACTGGCTCACACAACTACATTCTTTTTTTAGTAAAAAATTGGCGACAGCTAATCCATATAGATGGGATGTCTTCTTCTGGTTATACCTAAAAATATATCATTGACTGATATATTTTTATTAACTGATACTGCGACAAGCAGAAGTGACAATTTGGAACTTATTGTTTTACCTCAAGAGTAATACGATCTTTGTATCATGCGTGCTTTGGTGTTGGAAATAAATGTGTTCTTATTTTTAATAAACTTGATCATGACATATTGTTTTATAATTTGTGGTTAATTTAGTTGTTGTTTAGATGCACAGCGGCTTCAATAAAATCAATGGCGATATTTTAAAATTAAGCTGCTTGCCATTATTTTCAAGGGACCAAAATTGTCTCTTCCGGATCTTAACCCCATTGCAAGGCACGGGTATAGCGGCTAGTTTTTTTCTAAAATAATAAAATAAGTATGCAAGTTTTACTTACGAGTGAATAATATTGGCCGACTTGTGATTGTAAAGCCTGGCTGCAACGTAAACCTGTCATTAGACTCTAGTCAATCACATAATAGATCTTTATCATAACACAACAAAAGTGCATAGTAGTTTTTAGGCATGTTTCATGGAATTAAAACGGACTGTTTAATACAGTTAATTTAAACACCATCAAGATAACTAAATGTTTTCTAGGTTATAAGTATATAGTAGTTATTAGTAATATTAACATATTAGTTATTAGTATTAAAAGATATAAATGTTTATACATTATTGAGCGGAGTGTGCGAAGCTCTTAGACGTCGACTCTCGTGCATTTCGTATTACGCAAACTCCGCCTAGACAGCTGAAGCAATCATTTTCAAATTTTGCATGGCGATAAAGACCATATCAGTGAGTGCTAAAATCTATGTGGCGCTAAACAAATTCTCTATGGAATCCGCCCTACAGGCTCTCAAAATTTCCATGTAATCCTTGGAAGCAGTATTTTACACATGAACAAAGGCATAAGATCAGCTGTTGACTTTAAGGAATGATTGTAACTGTTATCACGGATAATAATAGTAAACTGTAATAGTAAAATGTATGGATCATAAACATAAATCAATTATATCACTAGCTTGATCCAATAATAACAAAACGTATGGTTTGAGCGATAATACAAACATGTTTGCATCCAGGCTAGTGACGTCAAATGCCGTTTCTGTTCTAATATTCTTGCTGCTTGATTAATTCTTGGTTTAAGTTGACTAGGTATATATACCGGGTGAATAAAAAATCAAGAGCCCCCTCTCTAATATTTTTCTAAGTAAATATACAGAGATATCCTTTTGGTGGTCATGCAACCTTAGCAAGAAGTTTCATTTTATGATTTTAAAATTGTTGAGTGTCCCCGGGATTAGGGGGGCAACTCAAAACCAATATTACCATTGATTTTCCACATCGTTTGACGGGCTACCATTTTGGAGCATGTATTGTCATGTACTCAGATTTCCGTACCTCTGACCACCGCGTTTCCTCCTTTGGCTTAGCTTCGTCAATGTTAAGTCTGAAGTTTTGCGACTTGCAAGTGACGCATGCGTCGTAACGACACCACCTCGGCCCAACCTGGATTCCAACAGACAAGTAATCTTCAGAGAGTCCTTTCCATGAAGACACGTGCAACTTTTGAAGATCGCTTTTAGATGAACATTCCAATCGTTTAACTTCAACGGAAAATAAAACCAAATCTTCTCCTCTCAGTAGGATTTCTGAAGAATAATACTTTCCGTCATTGTCTTCGTAGCATTCTAACTTTACTGTGAATTTTTCAATCATGGCTAAGTATGTTATTTTCTTTTTGCTCGATTCTTGTGTGTTCTTGAGTTCAGGTACTTTCTTAAAAAGTATGTCCTTCTCTAAAAAAACAAACGAAAATGTATTATTTGGGAATAGATTAGGCACACACAACGTTGTTCAGTGATGCATTTGCTTAGTTACACTTGAGATTATGTGTAGGCCTAACAGACTGAATGCTTGGTTAACTCAAACAAGGTAGAAAAATGTAAGGGAATAAATGACATAGCTAAATAATGTAATCCCAGGAAAAAAGGGAAGAGTGTGTTACTTCAGATATTGCTTCGAGTCATTTAACACCAACCACTACAAAGCAAATTGCAAACAATGTGGTAAACGATATTTATTTCAAATTATAAAACAGTACAATTTAGGTAACCATAACCCATTCTTTTAAATGCATAATACCATGACGGGAAACAGGATACAAGCGAATCACTAGATTTTATTGAATGTTGTCCAAGTCAGTACGAAATTAAAGGAGGTGTATGTTATCCTCAAGTGCAGTATAACAATTTGACGCTCTATAAGTAAACAGGCGTAACCCGAGAAAAACACAAATAAATGAGGTTTCTTTATTTGTGTTTTAAGTAACATTATTCAGTGGAATAAGCCGTTCCCCAAGATAAGTGAAGAAGATTCCATAAAACGTCCATATATTGACATAGGATGAAAGATAATAACTGCGTTCAGTTTTCGAATAATTAAATATTAGGTGTTGAATTGGTCCGAATCAGTAGGAGGGTGAAATTGTCCGTACTTTAAGAAGCATTAAAAAGTAGGTTGCAAAATATATTTAACTACGAATAAAACTTATTGGTGAGTTTATAAATATCTGTTCCAGTTATTAGAATTAAAACAAGCCTGCAAAACAATTGTCTTAACCAATCGTCATCGCGTGGTTGCGTCGTAAGCCTGTCAAGTTGAACGAGAACCTGTTCACACGTGGCCAACAATTTTGAAAGTGAATTAGTATACAACTGCCAAAAGACAAGACAACGCTATTGGCCTACACCGTTTACACAGCGCTAATGGTCGCGACAATTGGGTTTTCGGGTGGTTAAGGGGCCTCGCTGGGCCCAACTCATTGTCCTCAGTCTACTCTCGGAGACAACTGAATTTTGGGGCAATTGTGAGGGCAGCTGGCAAGGAAAATGTGTTTACACGAAGCCAATAATTTCATGCCTGTCAGTTGTCTTCCGACACTTGTCTCACCAACTAACTGGCATGTAACATGAAAACCCGGCTGAACAGGTCGCAATCCCCTCCTCCTTCTTTAAAATAAGCAAGTAATCCTAACAAACTTACTTGTGTCAAAAGGGCAATTTTTTGAATCATCCTGAAACAATTAACTTTATTAGAAAACTTTCAGTATCAATGATTGATTATTATCGTAACTAAACATTGGTAATATTTTTTCTTAACTATTGTTTATACAATTCTTAACCGAATTTAGCTAAAATGTAACACGGAATTTATTGCCACATACACAGGATGTTTTTTAATGCAACCTAAATAATCACAACTACATCAAGACACCTTTTACCGAAAAGAAAACAGCTTATATGTTGGTATCCCTTATTCTTGAATTAATTACTAATCAACTTTATGAAATTGTTGCGTAGTTACTCATGGATTTTAGAGTTATTGAATTGGTCGTAAATAAGGCTCAACGTGGTGTTTTCGCAAGCTCAAATAGAGTATGCATGTAGGTTTACGTTTTTTGTTTTTTACAGAACTGATTTTGTTAGTTTTTGAAAATTATAAAAACAATTGTTTTTTTTCAGGAAGTGGAATTGCAATTGCAAACTTAACATCAAGCCTATCTTGGCATAATGCCAATGATTTACTTTTAATGTGCAATACATTCTTTTTGAGCATGCGAAATCCACACGTCGAGACTTATTCACAACCAATTCTTAATTACATTAAAACTCATATAACTATGCAAAAATGCATATCAGCTGATTGAAAATGAAGTACAAAAAACTGGGAACATGTAAGGATGTTTTGTCGTTAAAACACATCTTAAGGTACCTTTCATTTGGGTTGCGTTTTTAAATAAATGTCCTGTATAACATGAGTGTTAGCCTGTGTATAACCGTATAACATGTGTGTATCACATTACATAAATGGTGAAGAATACGATGCAAAAAATTATTAATAACGAAAAATACCCCAGCCGCAGCAAACCTGCCGTCTAAGCGAATTTCCATTTGGCTGAACTGATTTTCAATTGATCTATTTAAATAACATTAGGTGTAACGAGTACATAGAATTGCTGCTACAAGGAAGTGTGTTTTTAAGTTAAATAATTATAGCTTAGTACAAAATACATACATATTTGCCAAGTCTGTTCAAAATATATCCATAAACACGCAAACTACAACGTTTTACAACATTCTCCTTATAAGAATAACATGGGAATTTAAAATTTTTAAAATGTAAAATTTAAATTTTTTTTAGTTTTCTCCGTAACTAATAACCATATGAAAACACTTTGATATACTGAATTGTTTGTTTTTCAAGCTCTTTAAGAAGGTTTAGAGAAAAAATTGGGAAATTGTATGTTTTGAGGGTCAAAAATGAGAAAAAACAACTTTTACCCCATAAAACCCTGTTCCCATGGTCCGATCATGCTGGATCGCGAACTCATTCTAGTTTATCCCGCCTTACACCTTCAAACCAAATTTCATCAAAATCGTATAAAAATTACTCAAGTTATCGTGTTCACGGACACATATATATATATATAAATATATACATCTAAAAAAATTGAACGAATGGTGTTTTTGGCCTCTGGGGACATCAAAATGAAAAAGTAAATTGGTCCCGGGCCTAAGTCTTACCATGAGACCTACGGTAATAGCTACTTCCCTATAGGGAAATTCGCTAAAAATAATATGAAAGAATCTTTTATGTGTACAGAGAAAATGTCCACATTGGTCGGGTTCACGAGTAACATTCACCTACGTGTTTTAAACACAAATTGGTTACCTACCTCGTACCACTGATGCGGTGGATCAACCTTAGGTTCGTAGTTGATGAGAACATTAGTATAAAGTTTTTCTGTAGTTCTGACCATATTGTGCCAACACACTTTGTCTCCTTTTCTTACTCCATAAATTAGTTCCTTGTTTACTTTCTCCGCGCTGGAGGTAAACATGAGTAAATTCTTTATGTTAACCTTACTTGAACAATCAAAGTCCTTCAATGTCAAGAAATCATTTTCAACAACAGCTGTGTTTTCCTTTGTGCAACAACTCAGTGTGAGTCCTGGGTTGAAGTTTGTTGTGTAAGTCACAATATCCTCATCAGAACATAGCTCGTGTCCAAATGTTTTGCATTTTCCTAATTTCTTTCCTGATAACAAAACCTTGACTTAGTACATCAGAGGCAAAAAATTTACCATTTATATTTATGTTGCATGTATTGATATTTTTAATTTAAATGATTACCTGATCATTTGAAGTACAAAATACCCCCGCAGCAGCAAACCTACAGACTAAGCGAATTTCCATTTGCCTGGTTTGATTTTCAATTAAATCTATTTAAATAACATTAGGTTTAACAAGTTTATAGGTTTGCTGCTACAGTGAGGATAATAAAGTGTTTTTTAGTGAAATATGAATAGCTTAGTATAAAATATAAATATGCCAAGTTTTAACAAAATACATCGATAAACAAGCAAACTCCACAGTTTACTTATTCCCCATAAGAATAACATGGTAATTTTATATAAACGATTTATAAAATTTTCTTTGTAACCAATAACCATAAAAAACACTTCAATATACCAAATTATTTGTTTTTTAGCTATTTAAAAATTTTAAAGAAGGAGTTGGGAAATTTTAAGTTTTAAGTGTTTAAAATGTGAAAACCCAATTTTTACCCAAAAAACACCCCGTAAAACCCTGTTGCAATAGCCCGATCATGCTAAATTGGCGAACTCATTCAAATTTATCCCACCCTTCACCTTCAAGCCAAATTTCATCAAAATCCGAAAAAATACTCAAGTGTTCGGGTTCACAAACGTATATACAGGGTGATTGATATAAGTGTGCCAGCCGTTTTATTCGAAAACTATAAGAGATGTCAAAAAAAGATAAATGGTAAGTGCCTTGGATTTTTTTTATTAAAAAAATTGTTATCAAGAAAAAAAAAAAATATTTTAGCCGACATTTTCCCAATATGGCCGCCAATTTTTCTTACGTGTTGTATGATGTATTCTGGTAGAAAAATTAATTTTAAGACGATTTTATTCTTGTGATTTTTTTCATAAACCTAACCGTTTCAAAGATAATAATGGTCAAAGTTTTGAAATTTCTGCATGAGAAAGAGTTTCAATAAAGGCCTAAGCAAGCATGCCAGCTGTTTTGTTCGAAAACCATTCAAAATTTTACAACTTTAACCATTATTATCTTTGAAACGGTTAGGTTTATTAAAAAAATGACAAGAATAAAATCGTCTTAAAATTACTTTTTCTACCAGAATTCATCATAAAATACAGGGTGTTTCTTAAGAAAAATCAAAGTTGGCGGCCATATTGGAAAAATGGCGGCTAAAATAACTTTTTGGACTTGACCATAATTGTTTAAATAAAAAATCCAAGGCACTTACCATTAAACTTTTATTAATATAACTTATAGTTTTCGAATAAAACGGCTGGTACACTTATATCAATCACCCTGTATATATAAATGTATGTATAAATGTATGTACATGTATACAAACATACAAATTTGATCGAATAGTGTTTTTGGCCTCTAGGGACATCAAAATGAATCCTGGGTACGGGTCTTACCGTGCCACCTACGGTAATGACTACTTCGCTTTAGGGAAATACGCTACTAAAGTTTGGTATACAATACTGTTGGAACTACTATATGAGTCCGGTTACAAAACAAACATCGCTTTCATATTGTATGGATTCCAAAATGTGTTATATAATAATCGAAATAGTTATTTGTGTAACTAGTGGGCGAGAGAAATGTTTACGCACGAGCCGTAGGCGAGTGTGGAAAGTTTCTCGAGTGCAGCAAAGGCAGTTTGCACTCGTTTTACAAATTAAATTTTCCCAAACCAAATTTCATCAAAACCAATTAATTAAATTATTTATATAGTAATTTTAGTAATTTTATTGTTTATGGTTTGTCATTTACTATAAGTCATATAAATAATTAGTTAATAATTAATTAAATTAATTTTTCAAACACCGTACAACACGTTTTTACGTTAGGTTAAATCCGAACGAAATGGGAAACGCTGCTCCAGCTAATCGTAGTCGTAATATCTCTAACCTCTTAATTTAACCTCTTAGTTGCCATCTTATTTTCAAGCACAATTAATTTGTTTTTCAGGATAAATTTTGCCAACAGTGTCATAGAGGCTTCTGATTGACTATAACAAAGGTTTAGTAATTGAAAAATTATTTTTGTTCATAGAATAACATTATAAATGCCTCAAATTCAATTTTTTATTTTTTACCTCATAACTCATTTATCGAACCAAAATATCCGACACAAAATTTACATTGGTCATGTTAAATAATAGAACTAAAATTAAAATAAACAATAGACAATGTTGCTTCAATAAAACAATATCAATTACTTCTTACAACAAAAAAAAACTAACTAAACTAAATAACTTTTTATTATGAAATTAAACCGCATAACCTAACCAAACCAACCAAACGTGCTGACAATGAAAAAATCTAATGAAGGTGTATTAATCGAAAAAATAGTTCTGTTCATAAAATAAAATTATAAATGCCTCAAATCCTATTTTATAATTTTTTTATTATAATATCATAACCTAACCAAACTAACCAGACTTGCTAATAATGAAAAATCAAATGAAGCTTTAACAGAAAAAAAATATTTGTGTTCATAAAATAAAACTATAAATGGGTCAAATTCAATTTCATAATGTTTTAATTATAAAATTAAACCGTCATAACCTAACCGGACCAACCAAACCTGTTGATAATGAAAAAATCCAATACAAAAAAATTGTGCTATGAATAGGGTTCGAACCCGGGCCTTCTGATCATTAGCCCAGCAATCTATCCATTACACCCCCGAGGCCGTAGGTATCAGCCGTATCGTCGCGGTAATGATGTTCCCTCAGCCAATCAGAAACCTCAAAATAATACTGTAGGCAACACTAATCCTGAAATAAAAATGCAGCTATTTTCAAGCGTACACGGATTACATGCATAATAAAAGCACACTGTTTTGTGTTGTTTCGTTGGAATACTGTTGTGCGCCAAAGTAAAAACTGCGCACCAAAGTATGGCTTTCTATACTATAATCTGTGCAAAACAAAGTTTTACTTATTTGGCCAATTAAAATGTCCTTTTCCAAATTACTGTCCATACTGTGTTTTTTATGCATTCCGTCTTAATATCTTTACAATAACTTTTTACACTACCACTACCGTTAAATTTCATGCTTATAGAGTTCATGTTAAGTGTTAGTATGTATTCAAATATAGTTAATTAAATAATTAGGACTACTCACTATCTATAATAGACTGACAACCTTTGCTGTGTTCATTATCGTATTTCTGAAACAGGATTAAACTCAGTAAATACAAATGTAAAAACGTTGAGGTTAGCTACACCAATGGCAAAACTATTCTTAACGTATTTCCATTCTAAGCTAAAGTGTTATCTACGTATCCATGTAAGATCGTTATTCAAAAGTAGACTAAAGCAAACTTTTCTTGGTATGCAAATCTGCTGTGCCGTACTTTCTTTAATTGGGAATAGATAGCATAGTGATATTCCAAAATCACCAATATGAATCATACTAAAATCAAGTGTATCTATTCCCAATTTAAGAAATTTGCTAAAATGACAAATCCATGTCCGTTCCGTTCTCCTTACTTTCATATTCACATTTCTATACGCATGAAAAGTGCTTTTGTGTCCTAACTAAAAGAGTAAGAGGTAACACTTACCTCGAAAGAGTAGTAGTTGTATCGGTTCAATGCGTCACTTTGATGAAACTCGTAATAAAAAAGCCAAATTTTCTTGTCATCTCTCGTCAGCTGTTCCATACACGTAAATCGATCTTTACAATCCATGTAACCATATTCCTTTTTTTCTTTTTTTTCCTCAAAGAATCCCATGTATACTTTAATAGAACTCAGATCTTTTAAAACTATGGGTGAAAAATGGGTTCCTAATGAATTTCTGAGTATATAGCCATTTTTGGACAGATCCATAATTATAATATTATTAGATGGTTCGAAGTAATGATTACTAATGTCGTCTTCATCATCATAACCTGTTAGAAAGATGAATGAGTTATAAATCTTAATTATACGTTTTTACTTTCCCTCCTATAATTATAGAATGTTGAATAGTGAGTGTGGTGGATACGGATAAAGTATTCGTCAACATTTTCGAGTTTGAGTTTTGGGTAGATATACAGTATAAAAAAGTGGTTTCCGAAGTGATGTTTGTCCGTGTGTGTGAGTGTATGTGTTTTTTCTGTATGGTGGATGTGTATAAGCTACAGACCACACCTGTAGTCCGATAATAAGGACATTTGGTGTGTAGGTACGAATCCATGATATCTCCAAATGTCTTTTATTTTTTTAACTGTAATTTTTTTATAAAAAATCAAAAATAACACAAAATTAGTCTGTTTCAAAAATCATAGTCCAAATTTCAAAAGGTATTGTAACCTATGTTATTTTCCCATAAACCCCATAAAATAACGGAAGAGCAGATTTTTATAAAAAACTGGTTCTTATTAAATTGATGATATCATGGTCCTTATAATTCTAAACAAAATAGTGCAACCCCCCCCCCATTGCTGCAAACACCACAGTCCAAAAATTAATGCAACTTTAGTGATTTTCCTTACCAAATATAATACTCCCACCGCTTACCCTTATAATAGTTCTTGAAGAGCTAAATGGACAGAGTGTGTGCCAACATGCTGATACTTTATTGAATCATACTACTATTGTTAGTGTGTTGTCAATGTGTTAGTGTAATTATTATTATGGAACGTAAAACACCTTCACAAAGAAAGCAACATCGAGCGTTTGCTGGGTCACGGTGGCCATAGAGAAGTATTGTACTTAGGAAATATTCAATGGTTTTAATGTGGTATATCTAACAAGTGTGGTATTGTGATGTATCTATCAAGTGTGGCACTATGGTGTATCTTTCAAGTTTGGTATTGTGGTGTAACAACCAATTGTGGTTTTGTGGTGTATATAAGCAAGTGTGGTGATTTAGTGTATCCACCAAGTGTGTTATTGTTGTAAAAAAAAGAAATAATAATAAATAAAATTGCCTTTTATCCGAGCGTCTTTCAGTGTTTTACAAAGTATTTTAGGTCAATATACTAACTTAAAAAATAGACAACAATTATGATACAAAAACAATGGTTATGACAAAAAAATACAGGCTATAAATGTGTAACTACCAAGTGTGATGATGTGGTATATCTACCAAGTGTGAAGTGTGGTAATATACCAAGTGTGGTGTTGTGGTGTATCTGCCAAATGTCTTTGACTCCACCTCTGTGGTGTTTGTGTATGTATATGTATGAATTATTATTATTATTTTTTTTAAGCCTCCTAACGCTCAGTGGCTACACAAGAAGCCAGCTATACTGGGTTATTTTCTACTAAGTGCATTAATTTTTACCAGGTATTCTATTCACTAAAAGGAACAAAAAGTGCCAAACAAAAATTTTCCAACCCCACCCGTTAGGCTGTAATGGCCGATTATATGAATTTTTAAAATTACCTGTAGTAGCTTCACTAAAACGAGCATAGAAATTAAGCTAATACACGTACAGCACCAATGAAAATAGCGTTAAATGTCCTACAAAACCATTGCAACATCTATTATATTATTAAAGTGATACAATCAAATTTTATGTAAACGGTTAAGGTCATTTACCAAATAAAAATATAGGCCTATGGTACATAAAAATGAAGCTTAGAGTGTGTAGATTTGCCGAAAAGTATTGATATGGACGAATTTCCTAAGGGCTCTGCCTCACAGGCTGATTTCCAAAGGGCTACGCCTGGCATGCTTCCAAAGTTTACATGATTTAATTTAATTTTTTTAATGAAACAGCTGGTCAGTACAATGAACTGTTGTTTGTTTATTAACTCGAAAAAGATGTTTGTGATTTGTTTGCTTTTACATAGATTTAGGAGGGTTATGTTTGGTTTTAAATAAAAGTTGTAGGTATACGTTTTGTAAAGTATTGCTCAAAGTTTCATTTTGTAATTTATATTGTAAGCTACATGTGAAGAGGCTTGACTAAAGTTGAAGAATAATGGTAAAACATGTAATTCGTGAAGCATCAATATGAATCAATTGATGCTGTTGCTACACTAAGGTACGTTGTCATATACTTTTGGATCTATTAACATAAAAAGTAGGAGTTTGAAAGTAAGTAGGTTTACACTTTTAAATCAGTTTATATTTTCAAACTAAATCATAAAGTTGCCGTATTTTAAAACACACATCAGAATTACTTTAATAGCTCTCTAGGTCACATATTCTTCCCGTTGCAAAGCACGGGTATAGCAGCTTGTCTTTAACACACAACTATATTTTCACCGTTGTATGTCTCAAATAACATAAATAAAGAAGTTTATAAATTACTTCTTTACAACTTCAATGTGGCGTTACAACTAATAACACAATTGTGACGTTTTGTCAAATTACGTAAAAGACGTTTGCATTTCATGACCTTTAAAATGATGTAACCCATAAGGTTATTGCTGTAAGCTCGAAAAATTAGGTCAAAACTGGATAAACTTTGTTTACAAAACCAGCTGATTTCAATTGTTGGCTTGTAAACATTCAAATTATTAACTATTTCATGAACATACTTGGAAAATATTATAATTGCTAAGTGCTATGTCAGTTTTACCCAACGAAGTATCTTGATATGATTTTATTTCACGGCTTTTGTTCTCAAATGCGGCTGTAATCTGGCGTGAATACAGTCGTCAGTTTCCTAATAGTTGACTTTCAAATGAACGAAGATTCATTAGTGTCTATACGAGTTTCCATGAGCACTAAACATCGTTCTGTTGGGAACGTGATACAAAATGTGTGTGTGTTTGTTTAAGAAGCTGTGTCAGATGTGTTGGGGTGGTTTGAGGACGATCCACAGACAAGAACAACAGAACAGTTTCTCGTGACTTAAGTATTTCTCAGCTATTGAGAAAGGGAAAATTGCATCCCTACCATTCCACACTAGTACAGATTATTGAACCAAGAGATTGTCTACAGAGACTTCAGTTCTGTCACATTTGAGAATAGAACCCGTAAAATAAAATCATATCAAGATACTTCGTTGGTAAACACCGACATAGTCACGAGAAACTGTCTTTGTTCTTGTCCGTGGGTCGTCCTCAAACCACCCCTAACACATCTGATACAGCTTCTTAAACACACACACATCTTGTATCACGTTCCCAACACGATGTTTAGTGCTAATGGAAACTCGTATGGACACTGATGAATCTTTTTTCATTTGAAAGTCACCTATTAGGAAACTGACGACTGTATTCACGCCAGATTACAGCCGCATTTGAGAACAAAAGCCGTGAAATAAAATCATATCAAGATTCTTCGTTGGGTAAAACTGTCATAGCACTAAGCAATTATTGAGCGGAGCGAGCGAAGCTCTTATACGTCGACTTTTATGCATTTCGTAATACGCAAACTCCTCCTAGACGGCTGAATCAATCGTTTTCAAAATTTGCATGGTGATAAAGACCATATCGGTGAGTGCCAACATCTATGTGGCGTTAGAAAAGTCTCTCAGGAATCCGCCCCACTGGGTCTCAAAGTTTCAATGTAATCCTTATGGGAGCAGGATTTGACACATACACAAAGACATGTGATCACCTGTTGACGTTTGAATGCAGTAGATAAAGAAATAGTTGATAGCATTATTCCACAGATATTAGAACAGAAACGGTGGTTTGGATCATAAATATAATCAAATGACGACACTAGCCTGAGGTCCGTGACGTAGGAAGTGGTGAAGGAAGTAGTAAAGGTGGGCAGTCTGGAGTGTGGAAACTGTTTAAGACGATTAGATTTAGGTAGTTAACTGCATTCCTAAAATTCTATGGGAAGGGAAGAAAACGGGTCCGTGGCGTAGGAAGTGGTGAAGGAAATAGCCAAGGCGACTGTCCGGAGTGTGGGAACTGTTTGTGACGATTAGATTAAGGTATCCTAAAATGCTATGGGAAGAGAGGGAAACATGTCCACGACGTAGGGGGTAGTGAAGAAAGAAGTAAAGGTGGGCAGTGTTGAGTGTGGGAATGGATTAATGTATCTGCAATGCTAAACTGCTATGGGAAGAGACTGTAGACTGTAGGTTAAAATGATTACGAAGCATGAATCGTTACATATTTCGATACGTATACAATCGTTTACAATAGAAATTTAGAACTGAGTTGACAACAGCTAAGTCTTACTCCATAGAGGCTAAACACGAATTTTACTCCTTAAAGAGTAAAAATGCTACTTTAGACCCGCATCGCATGCATTAACGACTGTTTTTACTGCAGTTTGACAAAAACTATATAATATGAACCCTTGATGACCCCGCTCAATTTTGTGGATGCCTCTGCGAACGCCACCTAGTAATATTTTCCAAATATGTTCATGGAGTAGTTAATAATTTGAATGTTTACAAGCCAACAACTGAAATCAGCTGGTATTGTTAACAAAGTTTATCACCCAGCTGATCAGATGTCAGCTAATAAAAAAATTGCAAAGAAATTAACAGATGCTATATTACATTTGGTTAAATACAACGGTGAAAATATAGTTGTATGTTAAAGATGTTGCAATGGTTTTGTAGCGAATTCAACGCTATTTCCATTGGTATAAGTTATTACGCTGTGCGTGTATTGGCTTATTTTCTATACAAGTTTTAGTGAAGCTACTGCAGGTAATTTTAAAAATTCACATAATCGGCCATTAGAGCCTAACGGGTGGGGTTGGAAAATTTTGGTATGGCATTTTTTGTTTCTTTTAGTGAGTAGAATACCTGGTAAAAGTTGACGCACTTAGTATAAACTCACCCTGTATGGGTGATATCAGTCACCCCTTGAAACAAGGCCACGCAACTAGTAGCTTCGGCCAAATTTAAGAACCTCTTCCCTGGATTCCTGACACAGGAAAACATTGTATTTAGCAAGTATTTCACTTTGGACCGGTCATTAAACTCTAGAAGAGTAAAGGAAAATTATGTCTTCCCTCACAGTTTTTATGGGGAATATTGAACCGCCACGAGTTTTATGACCGTCCCGAGATACTTGAACCGCCACGATCATTAGTGCGGATTATAAGGGTCAGTTTTGCAGGGTTGAAAAACAGTTGAACTGCCACGCGGGTTCTGCAGGTAGCGAGGGAACTTTTTGAAATATTTATCCCTCCAGTTTTAGATATAAGATGGACTAAGAGTCAAGATTTAAGGAACAATAATAATTCAAGCAACCAACTGTAGTTATTAGTACAGGTTATCATAATACAATAACTCTAGTACAGTTATCATATTATTATTATAGTATAAACCGTGCGACAAAGTAAGTAAATCAAGCAATTAGCAGCTTTTTGTACTATAAACAGTGCAAGAGGAACTAAGGTAGCCAACTTTGTCGGGTGACTGTAGGAAAAATCGTTTTCACCCTTATCAACTATGCATAAAATATATCACGGATTTTGAACTGCAATTATTTTTACAGCTGACGGACAATATGGATACAATTGTGGACTTAAGAATTGCGGTCAATGTAACTCATAACATGGTTCCTCAATGCATTTAAAGCTAACTTTTAAATAGGTTTAAGTTGGCATAACTAGTACTTAACATGGTTATACAATTTATTAAAAACAACTATCTTATCGAAAGAATTAAATCAGTTTTGTTCATTAGGTCGTTGAATCCTGGAAAATAACTGGTTTGTTATACATTTTAGTTGGCTTATAGTTAGTATATATTTTAGAGCCAAGAATTAAACAAGTCTGGAATAAATATAAAAAATATTACAGTTGAACATTCCATAGTTGATATAAGCTTTATATCAATAAATAATTCGTAATACTTAAGATACAAATTGTTTGTTGATGATTTATGCAAAAACAAAGTTTACCTGCTTACTGCATACTTATGTTAACAGTTATGTACAAATGTAGACATACAAATGAATACCACACCGTCTATACTAAGCGTGAATTCTCCAGGTTGCCAGAAGTTTTACCCTCTGTACATATTTCTAAGATTTCAGAGAAATGGCGATGTACGGAATGGAATTTCAACCCCCCCCCCCTCAAGAAAAATTATTTGTGTCGCCAAGTCATAGTTTTACCCCCTGTATACATTACTTAGGTTCCACAAAAATGTCGATGTATGAGGAATTTCAGGCCCAAAATGAGGCTAACACAAAACACTGAATTAACGTACAAACATAGAAATAAATAGTTAATATGTTTCTAAAAAAAAAAAAATTAAATTAAAAATAGGAAGGAACTATGAGAAAAACGAATATCCTTAATACTTACATTGTGTTTCTGTACAATGAACTACATAGTTTTTTTGCTGGCAGTAGCCTTGAATCTCCTAGCTTGCCTCCTAGTCCGTCCTATATCTAAGTGGGAAACTGGAGGGATAAATATTTCAAAAAGTTCCCTCGCTACCTGCAGAACCTGCGTGGCAGTTCAACTGTATTTCAAACCTGCAAAACTGACCCTTATAATCCGCTCTAATGATCGTGGCGGTTCAAGTATCTCGGGACGGCCATAAAAATCGTGGCGGTTCAATAACAGCCGTTTTTATACCGTTACGGATATTATTTGTAGCCGATTTCAGGTCCACGACGGATTTTAACTAGGTGACCTGTATCGGACCTATTGGAAGAAGGATAGTGGATATTTTTATTTTACTGCGGTTATTAACAGCTCACATGAGCATCCTTATTTACTCCTTTATTTACTTTTTGTACTCATTGTATTTGCATGAGGTTTGGGAGAGAAATGTTCTTATCGAAGAGCGCGGTGCTTCGGAGCCCAAGGTCACGGGTTCAAATCCCGCCAATCATTAATAGATTTTATCCATGTGATAACACCGCGACCCTCTTGGAGTAGCCTGAAGTAATGCTTGAGAACAGTTCCAGGCTAGAATATAGCGTCCTAAGGATGTGAAGGTAAGACATAAAAATACAAGGGGTAAAGAGTTTCTATGCCTATTCTAGGGTGTTTTATATTTCATAATTGTATGAAACAGTTTATTTGATTATTATCCACGTCTGAAGTTTCTTAATTTAAACTTGCTATTTTTATTTAAACGCAATGAGGTTAGTACATTCCTAAAACTTAACGATGTTTCTTATACCATCGCTATTTGTTTATAGTAAGTTACCACAGAACCACGCTAAAATGTTATCTTACAACTAAAAGATTAAAACTATATTAAACATTAATAATGGGTTTATATGTCGAGCGCATCGGATGAAAACATATTACTTAAACTTTTACTACCCTTACTTGGCGAATCTCCAACATGTATTAATCTTAAACACTTTTTCAGAATATTGAAAATGTTTCATTGTACAACTCTATCACAAGATTTTAGTTACCCATTTTACGATGTGAAGTGTTTCTTTCAAAAGGTTATTTTAATTATTGAATACGGTACTTAAGCTTATTTTATAAAACTATTCAATATTATTACTCAATATATATATATTATTTTACTCAATATATTAAGTAATAAGTGAAATTAATATTGATAAAATTACTCTTTATCCTCACGTACTTGTGTCATCAACTCGTTTCCAAGGGACGGCAGCCTGAAAAACACATTTTAGTTACTACTCAAATTTAAGGAAATCAACAAGTGGGAAATGCGTTATGTAGAACAAAAATATAGAGTAACATAAATAGCATGACTTCAGTGTATTGCAACATTAACATTCAAACAGAAAATGTTATACTGTACATGGTTATACTGTAGTGGAAGTCACATCCGACTACTGACCAAGGGAGATCAGGAAATGGAGTATTAATCAAGGGTTCCTTTCGTTGATTCCTATGGAGCATGCATGTATAACAATCCATCACTTTTTGTTTGACATCGTTGGACACTTACAATACTGTTGGAGTGATAGCTGCCTCTAATACAAGACTATGGCGTTAAGGCCACACCGCACGTCCACGCTAGCTACGCGCCAATTCACACAGCCACGGATGCTATACTATGGTAATGATAGTTATAACAAACGTAGAAACATAAACATTGAACAGAAACTCCATTATGAATAGTGCAACAGTTGTAGTGGTAGGCCGGGCCGGGACTGCGACGTTTTGGTCTCGCCACGGCCTTGTACTTCAGGAGGCTATGATTGAGTCGTTAATACCTGTTGTGAATTCAATCAGCGCAACGCTTCACTCGATTTTAGGATAAACATATGGGGAATTTAGAAGGAAAAATCCTCCGTATGACTTAGATATAGAGTGCCTAAACATTATCCTAAAACTCACCTGTGACCACTTAACAATATTTTTAATGTCGGGTTCACATCCCAAGATGTAAGTCTTGTGTTTTCTCGTCCGTGTTTGGCAATCTAAACACATATTGTAGCAGAACCAATGGTCTTCGGCAGTTTCACGACTTCCTATCGTAACGTAATTTTCTCTCTCTCTTTTGTTATATACGAAATGTATATACGATTTTATATCCAAGTCCGAATTCGACTCGCAGGGAAAACCTGTTATTGAAACTATAACTTTATTTTTCGAAGACTTTATAACTCCAACATGTCGTTCATTTTCTAAATAGCATTCCAGAAACTTGTAATCTTCCACAAAGTGCTTCGACTTTAACGATAGATATCTTGCAACTGGTTCGGCTTCAGGCAGGAAATCATAGGATGTTTTTATGTTTTTGGCTGTAACTGAAAAGGTAAACTCATGTGAAACACTTAGTATTTTTATGTTTATTTTCTACCTCCAGCCATAATAGATTATCACTATTACATGTAATGACTCAAAAACCAATGTTTGTAAATATCGTCATTAATTCAATTCCAAAGTAAATTTTGTTTATATTTTTAATATTTGGTCATGTTTATCTTATAAAAATATTGTAAACAATTTATTTGTCTGGATTTCAGATTTCCCCAAATAGCCTGTGTTATAATTAGTAAAACCATATTTTCTCGACATATATATAATTTAATCATAATTTATTCATTGGCTTTACAAAATTATTATTACAAACAACCTCTACAATTAAAATACCATGTAGCTAGGTTCAAGATTACAAACAAAATTCAACACATGTTTGAAATGTGTGAACCCCATAAAAAGTAAAGAAACGATTGTCAACAATGAACAGTGCAGTTAAGGTTTCCATGAAGAAGAGATAATTAGTAAATATTTTAACATAGTTGTGCTAAATTAAATTAAAAAGGAATACAAATTATAAACTAAAGGAAAATAAAGAAAGAAGAATTATGCCTACGTTATCCAGAAGAAAAGTTATTTAAAGAAGATTGTTGAGAAAATTCCATTTAATTATTAATTAAGAATATAGACTCCATCAGCATCTATTTTGAGACTAGACCTACCTACTTTTCATTAACATCAACGAAAGGAAAGAAAAAAATTATCAGAATCAAAATTTGGCTAAATTAAGTTATTGTTATTGTTTCCAAATTATTTTATTGAATTTGACATTAATCCTAAAAAAAAACTTTTCATTCACAGTCTACAAAAATCCCCACCCCCTGAAGAGGTTTGTAACCTAGTTTTTTTAATAATTTATATACCATTTGAGATATTCCCGAGATCAATACAATGATAATTGAGCGGAGCGAGCGAAGCGAGCGAAGCTCTTATACTACACTCCTGCTTTTTTATTACAAATACTCCTCCTGAACGGCTAAAGCGATCTGCATGAAATTTAACACAGTCATAGTAACCAACCATGGGAAGGTATAAATCTGAAACGGTACAAATCGGACCATAGGACTTTTCCCTACATGAATGCAAACTTTTGGAAATTTAACATGGGCCTTATGGGTTAATTGGTCGCCATGTCATTATTTGCGAGTAAACACTAAAAAGTAAACAAGAGCCTCAACATTAGTCAACAAATCTACCACATGATAAATACAGTACAAAAGAAAAAATTGGATAATACTAAAGAGCATATTATAGTATATTGTATGTAATACGAAATGATTAACAATCAGTTCTATATTGAGTGATTAAACTCCATGCCGTTTATATTTAATTGTAAAATGGTTCTGTTCTTTTTAACAACAATGAATAGTTAACTAATTAGGCCTAAGTTTATGTTGCTTGGAGAAGGAGAAGATAAAACGAGGTCATTAAAAAAACACTACAACATAATTATACCAACAAAAATCACACCGCCCTTGATTTGCAAGAAACTTTGTAAAAAATGTTCTTGTAGCTAAAAATACAAAATCGTTTTACGAAATGAAATCACAATCACGTGGTTTACAGGTAAGGTTTAAGACTAAATGGTGTAACTTAGACAATAAAATAGTTGTATTGATAAATTTTATTGCACAATAGGGAAATTTTGAAAGTGGTTGACGACAATTTCTTACTTTTAACTGCTAAAATAAAACTAGACCTAAGTTATAGGCCTATACTAAGTGAGGCTAACCCCAATCCCTCACAACAATAATACTGGTAAACAGTTATTGAGGTAATAGAATTGGTGAGTTTTATGAATGTTCAATGCAACTAAGTCTTCTGTACAAATAAATGATTCTTTTTTTAATAATGAAGAAAGAAGACATTGAAAAAAATAAAGAAAAGCAAATTCTACATACAATGGGTAATAATAATATAATAATAATCGTTATTGCCTTTTAATAATACAGGTATTGCTTAGGCCTACCATGATTCATTTGCAGTATCGAAATTATTGAGCGGAGTGAAGCGAAGCTCTTATACTACACTCACTGCCTTTGTTTTACAAATACAGGTCAGGCTCCACCTGACAGGCTTAAGCGATCTGCAGGAAATTTGGCACAGTCATGTAACCAACCATATGGGAAGGTATAAATCTGAAATGGTAATATTCGGACCACAGGACTTAAACCAATAATAAGGGTTGCCGGAATTAGGCTGATGCACCATATTGCGTTTGGAATCTGTAAATAACTTACAGCATTTTATGTGAGCAAGACGTGCAATTAATGTAGACTTTGAATATCTATCTGATTGGAACATGTTCAATTCCTATTTGCAGTCTACAAATAGGAATTCCACTAATGTGAACCAAATATAACACAATTCGTTGACTTGAACCCGACGTATCATTGACTTTGAATACTGCACATAGACATCCCATATAAGTGAAGCAGAAGTAGGCCTAAGCCTACCATTGACTTCGGATACTGCAATTAGGCATTTTATTTATGTGAACAAAATAAATGGACCATGGATTTATTGAGGATACTGCAAGTAGACTATTCATTTACATGTACCATTGGGTTTGGATACTACAAGTAAACAATCCGTCTACGTGAACCATACGTACTATTGACTTTAGAATCTGTAAATAGGCATTCCATTTATGCGAACCAAATATATCATTGGCATTGGATACTGCAAGTAGACATTTAATTTATGAGAACCAGATGAAACATAGAATACGGTTCCTGCAAGTAGACGATTCATTCACTTAATCCTGACTTATGATTGACTTTGGATACCTCTGCAAATAGGCATTCTATTTAAAATGCAAAAAAATCATTGATATTGAATATGCTGGCTCCGCTCAATATTGCAAGCAGACAACTGCATTGTACACCTAGTTAATAGGTAACGTATTTATTGTGTCCATCTAATACAACATTAAACTACAACAATCTCTGTTTACAAACAAACCCCAACATCAGGTTTTATATAATCATATGATTTATATAAAGACAGAAGAAGAGACCAGCACATCCTCCTCTCACAAGTCGAGCGTCTTGGGTAGGTCTAGTGAAATTCATCTTTAAGATTCGATAAATTAACTCGGTTTCTTCTTAATCTTCCCCCATTTTCCGTTTCCACTATGTAGGACCTGGGCTGTTCGTGCTTTCGTATGATTCTTCCTTTTACTTGCTTGTCCCTGACATAAACCATTTGTCCATCTTGTAGCTCTTCTCTTTCTCTTTGCATGCCTCTTATCGAACCAGATTTTCCTTTTACTTCTTATATGTTCTTATTTGGATCTCAGTGTTTTAAGATCGGGTGTTTTTGGGACAAGGTTGACAGGAGCAATGGGCACAGTCCCTCTTACCTTTCTGTTCATAAGCAACTCTGAAGGAGAGTAACCATTCTCTAAAGGTGTTGAGCGGTAAGCCAACAGGTCCTGATGTATGTCTTTACACTTGAGAATAATCTTCTTAGCAGTTGCTACTGCTGACTCAGCCAGACCATTGGACTGTGGTTAGTTAGGATTACTAGTTGTTATAGTAAAACCCCAATCTCTTCCAAAGTTCTTAAAATCTTCGCTATCAAACGGGGGACCATTATCACACCTAAGTGTGTGTGGAATACTAAATTGTGAAAAGATCCTTTTCAGTATTTTGATTGTGGGTACTGCAGCAGTCGAATTTGTTGGTATCACATCCAAATACCTTGAGTAGTAGTCCTGTATCACAAAAAACAATTGACCCTTGACTTTGGCGAAGTCACATCCGACTAGGGACCAAGGGAGATCAGGAAATAGAGTATTAATCAAGGGTTCCGTTCGTTGATTCCTATGGAGCATGCATGTATAACAATCCATCACTTTTTGTTTGACATCGTTGGATATCCCAGGCCACCAAACAGTGTCTTGTGCAAGACGTCAACATTTTGTAACTCCTAAGTGGCCAGAAAGTGGCCAGAATGAAGTTTGTTTAAAATCATTGGTCTTAACCCTTGAGGAACAACTATTCTGTTCGCCATAATGAGTAAGCCATTATTCCAAGATAAAGAGTCACGGAACTTGTAGTAGGGAGTTAATTTCGGATCTATTCTACCATTAGAAACCCAACCATTTTCAATGGCATGTTTGATCATCTTTATAGTTAAATCAGACTCCGGCGTTTTTTCAATTTCTCTATGAAGAACATCAGTTACGGGTAAGTTTTCCTTGACACTTGTTATTTCTTCTTCCAAAACTTCACAAGCTGATATTTCTTCATCATTAACATTTAAACCTTCCACTCTAGAGAGAGAGAGTGTCTGGTACAAAAAACTTCTTGCCTGACACATGTTTCAAATCATAATCGAAGACGAAATCGCAATATTCGTGGTGAGAGAGTCTCTAAAATCTTACTTCCCAATAAAGCGACCAGTGGCTTGTGATCTGTGAAAATTTCGAACCTTTTACCGATGATGTACTAAGAGAGTCTCTCACAAGCCCAAGTAACTGCTAGGGCTTCTTTCCCTATCTGGGCGTACGCTTGTTCAGTTGGTGTTAAAGCCCTGGACAAATACATCGCCGGACGGAATGTTCCACCATGTTTTTGCTCCAGACATCCTCCCAACGCAAAAGAGCTAGCATCTGCAAGAACTCTAGTTTCAGCATTAGGATCATACATTGAAAGAACAGGTGCTGTTACAAGTACTTCCTTTATATCGTCAAAGGCTTTCTGTGGCTGTGACCCCAGTAAAAACTTACGCCATCTTTCAGTAGCTTTCGTAAAGGCTGCGATTTACTTAAAATATCTTTCACGAACTTAGTTAAATAATTGTACATACCAAAAAATCTTCTCAATTCATGGACGTTTTTCGGACGAGGCATGCCCAGCACCTCTCTTAGCGTATTTTCATCAGGCCTTATACCCTCACTACTATTTGGTGTCCTAGAAAAATAACAGAATTCTTCCTAAACTCACACTTCTCTTTATTCAACGTGATGTTGTTCTCTCGT